TTACGCTTATTTGGAGAGTTGAAACCCTGGACATTGTGTGAGATGCAATGAATAACCATGGCATAAAAGAATAGTGTCAGTCAACATTATTGTACCCAGCTGAAAAGTATCAAAAATAGCTTGTCTAGTTAGTGGAACATCCGGATCATCCGGATCCACATCATATAAGGTGAAATCCGCCTGTATCAGTTTATGGAGCATATCCCAATGTGGCGGCTGGGATGGCCACAAGTTCGTGTATGAGCAACATCATATACCAAAATTGTAAAAAAAAAAAAAAAAAAAAAACATAAAGCAATAGAATTGGGGCCTTTAAGAGCCCTTACAACTAAAGAAATCACAATAAACCATGGATCAGGTAGGCTAGCTGCCTTCCCTGAAAAGACAGAAAAACTTAACAGCAAAGGGCCAACTGGGCCCAAACTCCGCCACCTTAAAACACAGGAAGCAGAGTAGTCACTCCATGTCTGGGCAGTGACATCTCCGGCCATGTTAGGTAGCAGGGTGGGGTCACGTGTCGAAGAGTCCTATGAGCAAATGGGCGGTAAAGTGAGGGTCCGAAGACCCATGCTAGGTTTTTGCACATACAGGTAACTAAAGAATAGATCAAAAGTAACAGATATATGAATATGTAAAATTTTGCAGCATCCTACAAAGGACCATCAAAACAGTGTATAATATGCAAATGAGCAAAGTCTTTTCATCCAGGTTTTTGTCTGATTCTCCTCCTATCCCTTCATGGAGATGGAGTATGCCAAATAGGAGATACCCGAAGGGTGGAAGGTGGACGGTGAGGTGAGGAGCGTCCACCAGGCCCAATTTAGCCAGGATTTCTCGGCCTTCGGGAAGCGATGTGGCTATGTATGTGCTACCATTATGTGGAACTATCAGCTTAAAGGGAAAGCCCCATTTGTAGCAGATACGAGCTGAGAAAAGGGCAGTTGTGATTTCCTTCATTTTTCTGCGTTTCTCCAACGTAGCCGGAGAAACATCCGGAAATATTTGCAAAGTTGAACCTTCAAAGGTGATCATTGGGGTATTACGGGCAGCTCTGAGTATGTCTTCTTTCGTCAGGAGATCCTTCATACACAGAACAATGTCCCTAGGCGGTTTATGATTAGGAGGTTTTGGACGCAGAGCTCTTTGGATGCGGTCACAAGCAAAGGACCTAAGGTCGTGGTCAAGAAGAAGAGACTTGAATAACTTAGTTGTGGCTTGTGAAAAGTCACAGTCTCCGGGACTCCACGAACTCGCAAATTATTCCTGCAGTTGTGATTGTCAAGATCCTCAACCTGTGCCTGCAATTGTGTAAAGGCCATTTTGTAAATAATCGTGATCTCTGGAAAGCTTGCCATAAGCTAGGCTGAGCTCATCATGTTTTGTTTCTAAACGGTCAATTCTAGAGCCCAACGCGGCTATTTCCTGAGAGAGGACGTTTGTGCTCTTGTAGAGTTCTGATTGGAATTTAGCGGCTAACTTGGTGTACATAGTTTCCAAGCAAGATTCCAAGTCCCCCTTTGTAAGTTGCTGTGCATACTCACTGTACTGAGCTAATGGATGAGCAGAAGATTAGGTAATGAGGCGCCAGAGCTCAGGATTATGCAGCCGCTCCCGTCGCTATCATGGACACGCTCCAACTTTTTACAGAGTGAGTGGAACTCTGCTTTAAGCTAACAATTGGCTTCAAGTTTAGGACTAGGTTTTTGCAACCTAGTACATAAATAATAAAGCATTCACTTGAAATGCATTTTTACTCAGGTCAACCAGCACAGGTCCACTGGTGTATATCCTTTGTACCCTGAAATTTAGAAACATAGATTTTTAAATCACTGGCTATATGCTAATAATTTAAGGGTGTAAGGATCACTTTTAATAGTGTCTAGTTGCATAATGATAATTCTTGATAGACAGAGCATGTAATAATATTGTTGAACATAATAATATTTAATGGTATATATGGCTCGTTCCTGTTATCTGATGAGATATTGAGCTAATTCCCTTCCTAAATTGTACAAATGTACTACTAAGAACTTGCACTGTTTTACCTCCTCTAATACCAGTCTTTACCACTGCACATTCCCAAAGCACAGTGGATGATGATCTACCTCCCGGTCACAAAAATAAGATCATTGAACATAATAATAATATTTAATGGTATGTAGGGCTCATTCCTGTTATCTGGTGAGACATTGAGCAAATTCTCTTCCTAAATTGTACAAATGTACTACTAGGAACTTGCTTGTTATGAACTCTCCTTTATTTCCAACTGTGTATAAAATATAATACTGAATCATTATAAATGATTAGAGTTTCTTTTATTCTTACAAGAGTGACTAAGTCTCAGAATTTATGTTGTCATTTGCACATCTTTAGGTCTAAGCAGTCCTGATTTATATCGTCTCTCAAAAATGACTTGATAAACTGTGTACCCACTTGTAAAGAATTAAGACTAGGTATAAATAGCTTGAAATTTTGGAGCACCATAGCAATAGAAATGAAAAACACAGAAAAGAAAAATTTAAAAAAAAAAACTGACTTTGTGCATTCTAGTTTTTAAAAGTATCTAATAGGTATGCTTATAAAACATCATTGAGACTCGGTAATATAGATAAAAAGTAGCACAAAATATAGCTATATCGCAAATACACCCAAAATAGTCACTCAGAGTGCTATGTATGGAAACCTCATATATATTAAAACCTCAATATATATTAACCCGTTCAAAAAGGTTTTGTATGTAGACCACCAAACTGAGCACGTTTAACTCCGGCTTGATAAATATAAAAATTAAATATGATATAATTAATGAATTAATAAAGTATGCTTATAATGTAACTAAGTTATAGAATATCTCTGCTTGTTCATGAACAATACTAAATCCAGAATGCAAAAATGCCAAAACATACATACTGTAAATCTTAAATGTAGATTAAGCAACATGCAATAAATCAAGCAACTAAGTTTGCAAGGTAGATCAACTTTAAATCATGTATATCCATCACTTTAATAATGCAAACCTGCAAATAGTGTAAAACATTCAGATGGAAAATAATTGTGAGCATAAATGGGAATAGTTTCACTGTTTGAAATGTGTGGATATTACATCTATATGGATTATATTTGCGGACAGCACATAATATTGCATGTAATTGCAGTAAAGAAACCCCTTTTCAGCTACCTAGTTTTAAAAACCTGCTGTTCAAATGCAGAAGAATTGCTCTAAAGTCAAAAACTATGTGCGAGCAATATCTCCAGAAAATGATTAATAGTCATACGGGAGGGCCATGCGTCTTTGCTAAAGGGAAATTGAACATACCAGTCCAAATTTTGCACCGATGGGAAAATAACTAGTGTGAAGCACACTGTAGTGCAGCAAAGCTGAATATGAGCAATAGTTAGCAAACAATCATTAATTAGAAAATAGTGAAAGCAAGTTGTGGGGAAAATGAACAAGCTGCTTCTAAATGGATCTCTTGTATATAAACTGCCCAGTACCCATATTTGCCCCTTATAAGGGGGTAATCCAAAGGGTAATCCAAACGTTCACACTGGTGCAGAAAAGCAGTCTGTGTATATCTTCCTGCAGCTGTTTGCAAAGTGAACCAGTTGCTTCCAAACAGATCTCTTGTGTACCAACTATCCAATATCAAGTGCACTCTATTGCCAGTATACTGTATACTCAATGATCAAGTAGATGGATGGCTGTTGGTAATAGGAACTGTACATGGATTCCAGATATCACACTGATAGAAAAAAAAGGTGGTTGCAAATCACAGACATACAGACAAATGAACAATGTAGTGCCACAAAGCTGTAGCTTAGCATTTGTTCGGAAGCAGGCTTAAATAGCTTAAAGCAAATGGTAGATGTAGGTAAAGTGAGCAAATTTCCTCCAGATGAATCTCTTGCATACAAACTGTCCAATAAGTAAGTGCACTCTCTTGCCAATATATAGCAGTTGCCACACATAGAGGTTGATTTACTAAAGACAAATAGACTGTGCACTTTGCAAGTGCAGTTTCATTTTGCAAATGCAGCTGCGCCAGAGCTTAGTAAATTAGGGGAGGCTCTGCTGACTTCCATTATCCAATCGTGCAAGCAAAATGCTGTTTGTTTTTTATCTCCCTTGCACGTGATTGGGTATTCTTTGCAAAGTAAAGCGTCACCTCATTTACAGTGTACTAAGCTCTTGAACAAATATTCTAGCAGAGTGCAACTTCACTTACAAAGTCTGTTTTCCTGTAGCACATCAACACAAGTATTTATGCTGGTGCAAAAACCCAGTTTGTGAAGGAGGCTTGAAGTTTATAAATAAATATCATTAGTGACATTTCATCGAGCAAAAAAAAATGATACCAGGTACCATAAGTAAATATGTGATTAATCTGTCAATAAATGTGGACACTCTTGTGGCTGTGGTTGGAAAGATCCCACCCATCTGCTGAGAATTTACTGTGCCGCTTTGCTGTGGAATTGGCAAGAATAGGCAGGGAAATTGCTGTGAAAAAACACTGGGAAGTGCTTCAGGGTAGTGTATACATTTTCTGGTAATTTGTAGGACACATTATTAATCTAGAATTCATTTTTAAATAAAGGTATTTGTTGGTACTATTTTATAATGATTATTCAATAGTTTACATATTTTATACAGTATATGAGTTATCTCATTTTCACTTCTCAAATGTTGCTTGAAGCTTTTTTAATTGTTTTCAGCAAATATGCTCAAATTTGAGGACAAGCCTTCACAATGGAAGGATTAAATTATTTAGTCTAAGGGGAAAATAAAAAGCAACTATACTTGCCTTATTCTTAGCCCCCACAGGCTTCCTTCTAACATAACCTTCCCCCCAAAGCCGCTTCTTTTGGGTGCTCTGTTGCATGACATCAGAGGCACCTTGACATCCTACATTGTAAGTGACAACCTGTAACATCAGAGGAAGAAGAAGAGGATGAGGAAGCAAGGGATACAGGAAGTATAGTTGCATTTTCTGTTGCCTTCAGATGAAACAAATGCTATGTAGTGCTGGGGAGCCATACCAGAACCTTGGAGAGAGGGAGCGGTGAGCCACCTTGGCTGTGAGGAGATGACAGGAGATGACCAGAGACTGCGGACACAGTACAGGAGATGACCAGAGACTGTGGACACAGTTCAGGGGATGACCAGAGACTGCGGCCACAGTACAGGAGATGACCAGAGACTGCGGACACAGTACAGGAGATGACCAGAGACTGCGGACACAGTACAGGAGATGACCAGAGACTGCGGACACAGTACAGGAGATGACCAGAGACTGCGGACACAGTACAGGAGATAGATGACCAGAGACTGCGGACACAGTACAGGAGATGACCAGAGACTGCGGACACAGTACAGGAGATGACCAGAGACTGCGGACACAGTACAGGAGATGACCAGAGACTGCGGACAGCACAGGGATGACCAGAGACTGCGGACACAGTACAGGGATGACCAGAGACTGCGGACACAGTACAGGGATGACTGGAGACTGCGGACACAGTACAGGGATGACCAGAGACTGCGGACAGCACAGGGATGACCAGAGACTGCGGACAGCACAGGGATGACCAGAGACTGTGTATAGTACAGGGGATGACTGCTGACCTTTGGGGAGGGGGGGGGAGCGGGTACCTGAATTTGACAGATACCCGCTCCCACTTTCGCGGAGTTGTTCTTTCATCTTACCTGTTCCTCTATCCAGCCGCGCGCTGTCTTCCCGGCTTCTGTAATGGCGCTCGGCATGACAGCCGGGTGCCCAGTGCGCATGAGCGAGAAGCACTTGCGCTTTGTGATTGGTCCGGCGGCTTCTGGGATCTGTCATGTGTCCCAGGTGCCGCCTTACCATTCACAAAAAGCACCGCTTCCTGCGCATGCGCACTTGGCACCCGGCTGTCATGCCCACACTACAGAAGCCGGGAAGACCGCGCTGCTGGATAGAGGAACGGGTAAGATGAAAGAACAACTCCACGGAAGTGGGAGCGGGTATCTGTCAAATTCAGGTACCCGCTCCCCCCCCCCCCCAAAGGTCAGCAGTCATCTCTATAAGGTCCCGCTGTAGAGCTGAGCGGCCGGCCCGGTATTCTGACACGGCGGCAGTGGAAATACCGGACCGGCCGCTCCATATTCGCTCCATAAGACGCACTGACATTTTCCCCCCTTTTTTGGGGGGAAAAAAGTGCGTCTTATGGTGCGAAAAATACGGTAGTTTAAAACATATATTTATTTATTACAGGTGCTTATAAAGCGCCATCAATTTGCACAGCACTTTACATATATATTGTACATTCACATCAGTCCCTAACCCTCAAGGAGTGTACAATCTAAGGTATATATGGTGCTCTATTGCTAAAACACATTTACTACTGGATTTTTATTAAGTGCTTGCTATAGTGATAGGTTAGCAGAACAGAATATGTGCACATTTTTTGTGGGTAAGGAAACTTGGCAGTTCACCATTAGTTATCCTCCAGTCTATGCTTCATCCTTCATGCATGTGCCCCGGCCCAACTACAACTGAATGGCATAATTAGGACAGCTGGCACACCCTGGTTGATACTTAGGGTTGGTTTCAGTTGTAATATATTAAAAGAGAAATGGCCATTTTTTTTTCTTTTTAACATAATTCTCATGTGAGTCACAACAGTGCACTTACTGGACCCAGAATCAGCAAACAGTGGGCTAAAGCCACACAGAGCCACTCAAGGCTCCCGACCATAATGTTAGGATCCACCCAGATGCCTGACCAGCAGCTGGCTCATCCTCTAGCGCTAGAGCACGGGTGTCAAACTGTCGGCCCTTCAGCTGTTGCAAAACTACAAGTCACATCATGCCTCTGCCTTTGGGAGTCAAGCTTGTAACTGTCAATCTTGCCATGCCTCATGGAACTTGTAGTTTGCCAACAGCTGGAGTGCCGCCAGTTTGACATCTGTGCTCTAGCGTGTCACTGAGAGACTTAGACAGCTGCTCCTGCCCCCTCCCCATCTCAATGCTTCAGTGAGCCCTGGAGAGGGACACAGTATAGAGTGGCGACTAACAGTCTTTGCTTAGAGCAGACCGAGACCTGACGGAACAGCAATCGTGATTATATACTGAGTATGTGTGTATGCTTTTTGGCAAGTCTACACATGTCTCATAGACGTTGCTAAAGTTGACTGCATATTAAATGTTTAGCTATCCAAAAGTTATATTTCAATTTTGGATGCTTGCTGACTTATGTCTGTTGAGAGTTCCACATTTCCGATTACTCTTGTTAAAACAGGTTTGTTTTCACACAAATAGCATGGTTAATTTAAGTATGTGTTTTGTAGTTTTGTGGCTTACATTGTGGTTTATAAATAATGTTTTAAATACAGCCTCAGAAACTTGTGGACCAAAGTCACACAGCCATCTTTGATGTGCCATGTGCTTTGTGGCCCTGAATGGGTTCTGCAAACACGGAGTATGTTTGCACACGTGCAAACAATTGCCACAGCTATCTAGGCATCAACACATCGTATAGGCTTCATTGATATTGTGACATTTAACAGACAACTCATCAAAGGAGGCTGCATGACTGTGGCACAGCTAATATATTGTCACCCTCTATATTTCCAAAGCCCTTAATTGCATATACCTGTCAAACGTTTATTCAGTAGCTCTCCATATTTTGTTAATGAATTGCATCACCTGTGCCATAAGCCAATTTTTTTTTTTGTAAGGCCTAAATGTCATAGCTTTTTTATCACCCATAAATGTTAGGATATGTTGTCAGTGGATTCCTATAATAGAATCTGCAAAATATTTAAATGTAAGAAACTTGTTCCCTTCTAGATGTACATTAATTACATGACCATTGCATCCTGTTGCAGGATCACCTGAAAAACTGAAAACAATTGTTTTAAAGTCTCTGAGAGTTATTTACTAAAGCTGAAGAGTTCCAAATCTGGTGCAGCTCTGTATAGAAACCAATCAGTGTCCGGGTTTAATTGCCAAAACCTAAATGAACAAGTTGAAATTGGAAGCTAATTTGCTACCATGCACAGCTGAACTAGATTCTGAGTGCACTAGTTAAATCTCACCCCCTGAGTCATGTTTATGGTATATGGAATGCATCTGCATTTGCTTTGTGTGTATCTGCTTTCTGCTGTCTCACTTTGTTGTCACTTCAGAGTTAGTATTGGGGGCAAAGGAAGTGATGTCATCAAAACTAAGGAAAAACTAAGGAATAAATTCCCTCAGAATTAATTATAAGGAATTTGAAATTGAGTCCCTGAGAAACATTGGAGTACTGTTTTATTATATAATGAATATTGAAGATAAAAAAAACCTTTCCAATTTATTTTGGTGCTAAAGAAAATTATTATTAAGTTCCTACCACAAATTTAGGGTCACATGTGAGGGCCTGAAAAGCTAGTTATTCAAAACTATGAATAAATATTTATTCTCATACTAACTGTAGACTAGTGGTGCCCAACATGTGGATCGGTGTGCTTTAGACCTCAAACCTAGTCAAGAGCACTCCAGGCTGCACACTCCTCCAGGCCCCAGTCAGCTTTAGTGATATCCATATGACAGTCATGGTCTCCAATGAAACAGTCAGCTCTTGGGCATCTGCTTCTGCTACGGGGATTTATTTACTAAAGCTAGTTAACTCAGAATCTTGTGTACCTGTGCACAGTAGCCAATCAGCTTCTAACCTCAGCTTGTTCAATTAAGCTTTAGCAATAACACCTATAAGCTGATTGGTTTCTATGCAGAAGTGCACAAGATTCTGAGTGAATAAACCCCACAGAGTGCTCAACCAACAAAACTTTGTAAGCAAGAAGGTTTCTAAAGAAAAAGGTCCAATAGAACTTTAGAGAGCACTGTTGCGGACTGGAGATAATCCCTTTATCTAACTGATTTTAGGCATCCACCTCACAATGCCTTCACAGGTTGTCATGTATTTCTTTTTAAGTAGGCGAGGATGATTCCGTGACAGTGTGTGGTGTGAAATGATGTTCGTATACATCTGAATGCTAGGTCACCATACACAGTACATTCAAACTACAATCTTTGATTTATTAAAACTATGTAATAGGAGGACCTATCTAAACAATACAGTCAATACGTATACAATCAGAAAGGCCCCTGCACTACATTGGTAGAATTAAAGGAGATTGTACTGTATGAGATTGTATGATTGTAATGTGTTTGGTGAGATTTAAAATGTTCCATGTTTTTATACCAAAAGACAGCGCGCGTATTTTATAATTCAACAGCTATGGCTATATTAATGTACATTTTTCCCATTCTCTAATTGATTGGTGGAATCTGTGTGAATACATTATTGGTATGTCGCAGTAGTATAATTAAAAGAAAAATGTCTTCAGTCAAAAAGCATTTCTCCCCAGAAAATATATTATAACTTTCTATGAGTTCCCAGGCTGTGAGGCAGCAGCAGGGGGCACATCTGTGTGAGAAATCCTTGCATAATTCCTAAGCATGCATTTTAGGCTGGAAAATTGATGCTTAAATTGGATTATGCCTAAACAAAGATGGCATGCTCCCATTCCTTCCTGCAAGCTGTTAACAACAAATGCATCTCTATTTGTTCCAGTAATTAGTGTCGTGAAGTAATGGAATTACTTGCCTCGGTTTCACTTTTGCAAGTCTGATTAGATTATTTTATTACTTTATAAAGTAAGAACATTTTGCAATAATGGGGCTTAAACCTGCCTTTCATGGTTCAAATTTTGGCAGATGCTTGCTGAATTGGGTGAAATTCAAGCCACAGTTGTGCTTGTCAGCACAGCAACCTTCACTTGAAAAATTGTAACGGGTGGAAAATTGTTGCTGCACAGTGACTGCAACCAATCAGATGCAGTTTGGTTATTAAGAAAGCAATGGGTGCCAGCTGCCAGAATACAATAGCCAGCAGAGAAGATGCCTCCATCCATGCTGTTAATGGTGAATGGAGGAATCTACAAGAGCAGAACAAGAGAAATCTCTACTTTCATGGCTAGCCATAGTTACAGTGTGTGACCATCTTGGCAAACACATTCCACCATTATAACCATTATAGTACATCTAGGATTCACATTAATGTCTTTCATTGTCACTTTGGTATTTTGGGTGCTTTTTGTAGAAAAAAAAAAATATATATATATATTTCTGTTTGTCCCTTTCAAAAGCCTTTATTACAGTTTCTGATGAATATTGTTGGGATATGTAGGTTTCACGTCTATATTGAAAATTTTAGGATAAAAAGATACAGGTTTGACTTTTAACTGGTTCGAACACTTGTCCTTCCACTGCAGATCTCACTTTCTTTCAAAGCCTTTTGCTGACCTCAATTGGATTACATAAACTAAATGTTTTTTTCCCATGCTTTCTTTTGTTTCAGGCATGCTTAATCACCCACCAATACCTATTGCTGAACTTTCTGAGCACACAGAACACTTAAAAGCCAATGACAACCTAAAATTATCTCAGGAGTATGAGGTAAGAATTTAAGTCAGTATACGGTTCTTTGGTTTACACAGCATCATACGTAAATCTATGCAGCCATACCTAAAATCTAGCCACCGAGTCAGGCAGAGCAGTGAGATCCTTGTCC